TTGCACTACCTAATGTCCTTCGGCCCACCCCGCCACTGTGCCTGGGTTGTGGGTCTGAACCCTCTTGGATGTTCGTTGGGATCTCGTCGGGGCCCCTCGGGGGCCTCCCGAAGGCAGTTTTGATGCCTCTAGGAGACTGTTTTGGGGTCTCTTGGGATCTCTTTTGGGCCTCTTGGTGGCCTCTTGGGGCATCGTGGGGGCCTCCTGGGGGCCTCCTGGGGGCCTCTTGGGGGCTCTTGGGCGCCTCTTAGTGCCTCTCCTGGGCGCCTCTTGGGGCGGAAGGCTAGGATTTTCGGTTTGTGTTCCCCGTTCCCCCTTTTGGGCTCCTCTCGGGGCCCTCTTGAGCAGTCTTGGGCGCCTCTTGGGCCCTCTTGGGGCCTTCCTGGGCCGTCTTCGGGCGTTCTTGGGGGCTTCTTGGGCCGTCTTTGGTCGGTCTTGGGGGACCTCTTGGGACGTCTTGGAGCGTCGGAAACTCGAAAAGTTGAGAACCCCCCAAACCATTTAACAACCGAGTGTAAATCAATGATTTTGGCCTCTCGGAGCCCTGTTGGGAAGGCTCTTGGCTTGGGGCTCTCTTGGGGCGCCACGAAGGCTTCCTCGACCGTCTTGGGGCTATCGCGGGCGTCTAGTGAAGCTTTGGGACCGTCTCGGAGGCCCCTTCAGACGGAAGTGTAGCATATGCCGCTCAGACAGAGAGTACGAATGAGCAGTAGAAGTTCTACGGCAGGTAATCCCCGGCAGCTGGAAGCAGAGGCAGTTCGTCATTGGAGTGGGCGCCAATGTTGAAGTGGGCCAGCAGCATGACGAAGACGACCCCCTTTGCATCGGCAAAGTCGGCCTGGGCGCGAGGACGGATTGAATCAATGTCTGGCGTGGGCAACCCAACACGCGACAAATCTATTATGTGTTAATTGGCCACAGACTCAAAATAGAGTTGCACAATACAGATGTCATTGCCGATTTGATGCAAAAGAAGGGTCGCAGGGCAGTTTTGGCAAAATATGCCAGTACGCGCGAAAGTGGAGACGGCGGAAGCCTCTGATGGTGGGGCGAGGATGGGACATGACAGCATACAGAGAAGAATGCCATGTGGCACAAGCGACTGCCTTGCGCGAGGCATCCGAAGACGTCGCTTCAGTGACAAGCGCTTTTGAAGGCTGCTTCAGAATGCGGCGAAGTACGGAAGGGGGCCAGGCAAAACGAGGAAACGTCCGAGTTCATCAGACAGATACGGGAAGAGAGGAACGAATGCACCAACGCAGAAGAAAGGAAACATAAGTCACGTCGCTTGAACGGAGCTCTCCGCGACCAAATGCGGAAGAGGCAGAACGACCAGCTTGACGAGTTCATCCTCAAAGGGTCAGCAAAGAAACTACCTGGGCTCCCAAATTGGCCGAATAAAGAAACCGCAGAACCAACATCCGAGATTCAAATGGAAAGCTACAGTCCGGAAGGGGAGACATGGCTGAAAGTTTCGCAACATTTTGCAAGTCTTTGTATGACGCTCCGCTGGAAGGCTCCGGGGTCACCAGACCAAGCAGTAGGATCCCGGCTGCAGAAGTAAAGGCGGACGTCGCATGGATCTTTTCTCGAATGAAGCGGAACAAGGATAGCGCTGAAGACTGTTTGGTGGCCGAGATGTTGAAGGGGGGCGGGAACGATATCATGAACCCCATCGCGGGGGTTTTTGCCGACTTGCTCAACGGCGTGTCCCGGGCCCCGGACTCGTGGCGCACCTCCGAAATTGTCGTTTTATTCAAATTATCCCAGTGCGACCCTACCTGGGAGTTGGAGCCTCTAGGAACAAGCGCTACGTGTATATATATGTACACGCATATACATTTGTATTTGCATATATAGAAAGACATTTCGGACATGCGATAATACGTCGGGTTTCGTGTCTCCCGGCCGGTGCTATGTGCGAAACTTTGGTGAATCCTAAAGGCTCAAGCTGCCCCACTAAGGGCTCAATATGGCCCACAGACGGACAACATGCATGGAACACACGTTCGCACACACATCATATATATATATATACAGCACCAATAGTGGATGCTGTGCTGCGCTATGCTATGCTCTGCTCTGCTCTGCTATGCGATGCGATGCTATGCTATGCTATGGTATGCTGCGCAATGCTATGCTGGGCTACGCTAGGCTATGCTATGCTATGCTATGCTATGCTGCGCTATGCTATGCTATGATATGCTATGCTATGCTGTGCTGTGCTATGCTATGCTATGCTTTTGCCAGGGGGGCGGGAACGATATCATTAATGCCATCGCAAAGGTTTTTGCCGACTTGCTCAACGGCGTGTCCCGGACTCGTGGCGCACCTCCGAGATTGTCGTTTTATTCAACAAAAGCGAGACGACCCTCCCAAATAGCCACAGGCCCACCACGATCGTCCCAGTTTTGAACAAGTTGTACAGCGGCGCAATTTTGATGCGAATGGAAAGTATATTGGACAGATTTTGAACCAGAATAAATTTAATCTGGATCAGGGTATGGGTGTTGCGATTTAGTTCTTTGCGTGCGAACGATCAACGAGAACAGCGTTGACGGGGGGGCGGTTCGGGTGGCTTCAATGGATTTTGGGAAAGCATTTGACGAGATCATGCACGCGGCTGTGCTTGCGGGTCTGAAGACAACCAGAATCAGCGATAACGAGTTTTGGGCCGTTCTGGATTTGTACACGGACCAGCGGGCGTATTCTCAGCTTGGCCCCGACACGCGAAGCACATACTTTGACTGTCTTCGTTGCGCTCGGCAAGGAGATCCGATGTCGCCGGCATTATGCGCGAATGCAGTCAGGAACGCGATGGTGCATGTGAAAGAATTGTGAGAGAAGAATGGGTGCGGGAACATCATCGGCGGCGACTTTCGGGAGAAGAACCGGATGGCTTATGAAGCGTTCGCTGATGATGCCGCGATTGGCCAGATCAGAGCAAGTTTTGGTAAACAAGTCAGTTTCTATACCCGGCGAGCTCGCGCGAATCGATCTGCGCGTGAACGCGGACAAATGCAGCGCGCAATGCTCTGGGAAACGTGCCCCCTCAAACTAGAAGGTGCAGTTATTCGGGCAAGAGTTTATTTTTGGTCAGCTGCTTCGTTGGAGTTGCATGTTCGGTGGACAAGTATTAAACATCAAAATGGAAGCTGGCAGGGGATATCATCGACGTGCCAGGTGCACGTTGGGCCGCGCGAGCGACTCAACGGAAGGGCCATGCCCGGTGGGGCGGTCAGTCGAGGGGGGGCACTCGGATGCCCAATTCGCTCCATGCCCGGCTGATTCAGCAGATGTGAAGACGAGTTAGTGTCGCGTGCAAAACATTCCGGTTGGGGCTCGTGGGCGCACGAGGCCTCGAGTGAGACTGTCTGGCAGGAGAGCGAGCGGGATTTTTGCAGCGCGCGTGGCGGTGGCCGCGCGACTTCTCGTTTCGTGTTTCATTTGATTTTGGCGCAGTCGCACGCCCAGTGGCCTCGTTTAAAGGCATGCGCGCGACCAGCGCGCCTGCCCACCTTTGCAGGGGCGCCGGCTTCCCGGCGACGGCAGCTTCGTTCGTTCGTTCGTTCGGGGGCCTCTTGGATCCTTTCGGGGCCTTCTCAGGGCTGTCTTGGTTTGTTTTGGGGCCTCCCTGGGTAGGGGCGCCGTCCCGAATGCTTGCGCGGAACACTCAGAGCGCCCTGCCGTGCCCAAGAACGCCCAGGAGTTTCCTGGTCTGCGTCATTCAGAACCTTGCGAGCTTTCAGGACTGCATGACCTTTCAGAATTGCGTGAGCCTTGAGGTACTCCACTGCGTGCGGAATGCACGGTGGCGGATGAATTGTTGGTGTGCGACGTGCTTTCAGTTTCGCAGGCAATGTTGGAAGACGCCTCTCTTGTGCCAGCCATGCCCACTACCGACACCCCCCTTGCATCTTTGTCAAAGAACCAGGTGGTGCGCATGCGTTGATATGATAAGTCGTTTCTCGAAGGGCCCCTTCGCAACGCATGCCATGATGGCCACGTGCGCGCGCCACCGCGCCCGCGTGCCGAATCCTTGCAAGCACCCAGTAGAACAAAAAACAAGTTCATCGAACACTAGAACACGCCATTCGCGATGGGCACGATAGAACTCTGACATATTTCTGCGCGCGCTCGTTGATATGTGAGGGGAACTATTTCTCCATTCTGGCGAATTGGATTATGTTGGCCACGCACGAGCGCTTGTTGAACGCGTTGACATGCGTCCGCGCACTCGCCAACCGTGTTAAATCCCACGCGGGCCACGCGCGCGCGTCTCCGCGCGCGCACGTCGAGTTCTCTCCAACACCAATTTCTTTGGTAGGGGTTTGAGATGGAGTAAGTTCTGCAACGGAATCTTAACATTCGGCGGGTTTCATGTGCAAGCTTGTCAAACATTCATAATTTCAGTCCGCCCGCACGCTCTCACCATCTGAATCGTCCCAGTCGTTATCGTCATCGTCAAGAGCTGGACCACGTCAGTGGTCATCGCCGTCATCACCAAAACGGAGTCCTCATCATCGTCATCTTCATTGTCGTTGTTGTCGCCTTCGTTTTCTTCGCTACCACCATCGCCATCATCAGCATCGTCTTCGTCTCCGGTGTCGTTGCCACCATGGGCCGTCGCCCGCCCGAGTCACGGATCTTCATGAACAGGGTCTGGATGCTATTGCGCTTGTTTAGATTTTTGAGCCAGTCATGATGAGTAGCATCGCCCACGTTCTCTGGAGTTTTACCAAGACGTTGTTGGTGTGTGGGCGGGATGTCTGTCGCCCTCAGTTCTGCCGAATTCATTGCGTCGACGGCAACCCGTGTTGTGCCCTGTGGGTTGCGTATGTTCAATGTTTTGTTATGTGCGCTGGCATTGTGTTTTTGAATCCAGTATCATTCTCCGTGTTATTGCCAATCATGTGTCTGTCTCTTTTTTGGCCAGAGCGAGTGTTCGACGCCTGAAGTCATCCGAGAAATCGGAAATCAGCTTCTTCCGATAAGCAGCCATGCGCGAGTTGGTGCACATCCAGGGTGGCCAGTGCGGCAACCAGATCGGGGCAATACGGGGCCCAAAAGTATACACCACCACCAATTGCCTCATCCCCTCCCTCTACCAGGAAACAGGAGAGCAAGAGGAGGGTAGATGGGGGGTGAGGAATCGACGTGGTGGTGTATACTCTTGGGGCCCGCAGGCAAAGTTCTGGGAAGTAATCTCTGATGAACATGGTATAGATCCTACAGGCACTTATCATGGAGATTCCGACCTCCAGCTCGAGCGCATCAACGTCTACTACAATGAGGCCACAGGGGGCCGTTATGTTCCGCGCGCCGTGCTGATGGATTTGGAGCCAGGCACCATGGACAGCGTCCGTGCTGGACCTTTTGGCCAGCTTTTCCGTCCGGACAACTTCGTATCCAGTTGTGCTGCCGCGCATATCCGTCATCGCGCTTGGGGAAGATATGTAGCAAGGCTGCAACGCGGCAGAGTAAGCAAGGCATGGCACGACACATATTCCACCACACAGATCGAATCACGCAGTTTGCGCCACACATGTTGCACAAAACTGAAGTGTATGAGACACAGGGGTGACATTCGGTTGCCGAAGCTACAAGTTGATTGTCAAAGGGGAGTGGACTAGGAGGGAATCAATATTGTTGGGAGGAGGAGGAGGCGGAGGAGGAGGAGGAGGCGTGGGAGGATGACAAGGCGCTTGTGGATAGGATGGATGATCGAAGACGCTCGCGGCGAATCACGGCCGCTCCCTGCCCCTTTGGAAACGCCTCTGTGGCCGACAGCTGGGCCAGAGCTCGGCCAAGCTATCGGGCCAGTTGTTTCCCGAGTCGGTTTGGAAAGACCTCGGGGAACGCGTGGGGGAGCAAGAAGAGGAGGAGGGGGAAGGATGAGGAACAAAGAGGAGGATGGGAGGAGGAGGAGGAGGAGGAGGAGGAGGAGGAGGAGGAGGAGGAGGAGGAGGAGGAGGAGGAGGAGGAGGAGGAGGAGGAGGAGGAGGCCTCTTGGGCGCCTCTTGGGGCACTCGTGGGGCCTCCTGGGAGCTTTTGATGGCCTCTTGGAGGGTTTTTTGGGGCCTTTGGGGGCTTCTTGGGGGCCTCTTCGGCAGTCTTAGGGCGTTCCTGGCTTGCCTGACGCCGTCGGAAGCCGTCTTGGGGGCCTGTCAGGGTCGTCTTGGGGCCCTCTTGGGGCATATCAGGGGTTCGTAGAGGCCATCTTGGGCGTCTTGGAGGCCTCTTGGGTCGTTTTGGGGCCCTCTTGGGGCCGTCTTGGGGGCCTTTCGGGCCGTCATGGGGCCATTTTGGAGGCCTCTTGGGCGATCTTGGGGGCCTCTTGCGCCGTCTTGAGCCGTCGGAATGCCGAGAAGAAGCAAATGCCAACATCTATCAAAACCCTTCAATGAATTTGGTTTCTTCGTGCCGTCCTGGAAGACCTCCTGGGCGCCTTTTGGGCCGTCTAGGAGGCCTCTTGGGGGCCTCTTGGGCCGTCTTGGGCCATCTTGAGGCCATCTCAGACCGTCTTAGGTGCATCCTGGGCCGTCCAGGAGGCATCTTGGGGCCATCTTAGCCGTCTTGGAGGCCATTTTGGCCGTCTTGGAGGCCTCTTGGGCCCTCTTGGGGCCCTCTGGGGGGCCTCTTGGGCCGTCATGGGGCCATCTTGGAGGCCTCGTCAGCGATCTTGGGGGCCTCTTGGGCCGTCTTGAGCCATCGGAATGCGGGAAAGAAACACATGTCAACATCCTTCCAAAACTTACGGAAACAAACATTTTAGCCTCTTCGGGCCCTGCTAGAGGACCTCTTGGAGGCCTCTTGGGCCGTCTAGGAGGCCTCTTGGGGGCCTCTTGGTCCGTCTTAGGCCATCTGGAGGCCATCTCAGGTCGTCTTGGGTGCATCTTGGGCCGTCTTGGAGGCATCTTGGGGCCATCTTAGCCGTCTTGGAGGCCATGTTGGGCGTCTTGGAGGCCTCTTGGGCCGTCTTTGGGCCCTCTTGGGGGCATCTCTGGGGCCTCTTGGGCCGTCATGGGGCCATCTTGGAGGCCTCGTGGGCGATCTTGGGGCGATCTTGGGGGCCTCTTGGGGCGTCTTGAGCCGTCGGAATGTCGAGAGCCCCTTGGGTCGTGTTGGGCCGTCTTGGAGGCTTCCTGAGCGAACTTGGAGGTATCTTGGACTCTCTTGGGCCGACTTGGAGGCCGTTTTGAACCATCTTGGGCGGACTTGGAGGCCATCTTGGACCATCTTGGAGGCCATCTTGGGCCAACGTGGCCATCTTGGAGGCCGTCTTGAGCTGTCTTGGAGGAAACACTGGGGATTGAGCTCCCTTCCGGGACCCCGGCGGGACGGGCCGAAGCCCCAGGGGGAGTTTCTTTGGAAAAGAACCAACACCAAAACCGAAAGGATCTAGCACGCCAGGCACCCCTGTGGCAAGCCAACAGGGGGCGGCGGATGTAATGGCCTTCGGCGCATCCCGCCAGCGTGCTTGGGTTGAGAGCATAAAGCCTGTTGGATGTGGTTGGGATCCCTTGGGGGCCTCTCGGGGTACGGATATTACCATCACTCTGGCATCTACTATTACGACGACGAAAACGACGACTACCTACTACCACTTCTCCTACTCCTACTTCTACTCCTACTCCTACCCCTACTCCTACTCCTACTACTACTTCGATTCATACGACTACGACTTGTACTAGCTTGATTTGTACCTTTATACTAGCCGGCCGCTCTGCGGTTGATCGGGAGTTTCTGTATATAGAAGAAGGTGCGTGCGCTTGTTGGCGAGGGTGAGGATGAGGTTCCTCCTCCTCCTCCTCCTCCTCCTCCTCCTCCTCTTCCTCCTCCTCCTCCATCCTTCTCTTGCCTCCGTCTGTCCTCCTCCACCCCACAGCTCCATCATCTCCTCCTCCTCCTCCTCCTCCTCCTCCTCCTCCTCCTCCTCCTCCTCCTCCTCATTCCTCCTCTGGGCACCTCCCCCGGGGCGCGGATCCACCGGATCTGTCCGGAGTCCGGAAACGGTGCCGGAGGCCGCTCTGGGCTCCTCTGGGCACCTCCCCCGGGGCCGGTTTTGTGAGGATGTCTCAAGCGAGGGCGCCGGTTTGGGATTCGTCACCGGATCCAGCGGATCGGGATCTGTCCGGAAACGGTGCCGGAGGCCGCTCTGGGCTCCTCTGGGCACCTCCCCCGGGGCCGGTTTTGTGAGGATGTCTCAAGCGAGGGCGCCGGTTTGGGATTCGTCACCGGATCCAGCGGATCCACGGATCTGTCCGGAAACGGTGCCGGAGGCCGCTCTGGGCTCCTCTGGGCACCTCCCCCGGGGCCGGTTTTGTGAGGATGTCTCAAGCGAGGGCGCCGGTTTGGGATTCGTCGGCGGATCCACCGGATCTGTCCGGAAACGGTGCCGGAGGCCGCTCTGGGCTCCTCTGGGCACCTCCCCCGGGGCCGGTTTTGTGAGGATGTCTCAAGCGAGGGCGCCGGTTTGGGATTCGTCGGCGGATCCAGCGGATCTGTCCGGAAACGGTGCCGGAGGCCGCTCTGGGCTCCTCTGGGCACCTCCCCCGGGGCCGGTTTTGTGAGGATGTCTCAAGCGAGGGCGCCGGTTTGGGATTCGTCACCGGATCCACCGGATCTGTCCGGAAACGGTGCCGGAGGCCGCTCTGGGCTCCTCTGGGCACCTCCCCCGGGGCCGGTTTTGTGAGGATGTCTCAAGCGAGGGCGCCGGTTTGGGATTCGTCACCGGATCCAGCGGATCCGTCCGGGAAACGGTGCCGGAGGCCGCTCTGGGCTCCTCTGGGCACCTCCCCCGGGGCCGGTTTTGTGAGGATGTCTCAAGCGAGGGCGCCGGTTTGGGATTCGTCACCGGATCCAGCGGATCCGTCCGGAAACGGTGCCGGAGGCCGCTCTGGGCTCCTCTGGGCACCTCCCCCGGGGCCGGTTTTGCGAGGATGTCCCCAGAGGTCCAAAAGGACAGTTTTTTAGTCCCCTTATGTATGTTCCTATTTATAGTCCCGCGGTCTTGTTTCTAGTCCCCTATCATGCAACATCATACATCATCACATAAACATGCATCAAATACAAAAATGCCACGCACAAGCGCCAAAAAGGCTGATGATGATGATATGGAGATATGTAAACCAGATGATGAAAACAAAAACGCCCAAAAGGCAGTATGATGATGATGATGATGATGATGATGATGATGATGATGATGATGATGATGATGATGATGATGATGATGATGATGATGATGGATGAGGTGGAGGGGGAGAAGGAGGAGGAGGCGTTGGCACCCTCGCTGTTTATTACTCAATAGTTGATTTTTGTTCCTCACATCCCAGCTCTAGATTATGCTGCTCTCCCTTCTCGAGCGGCTGCTCCTGCTGTTCTCCTTTTCCTTCCCCTAGCCATTTTGGCTTCATGGCGCCCAAGCGCAAGGTTGGGGCCGCGCGCCAGCCAAGCGAGGCTGACGCCACCACACTGAGCCACGTGTGGTCGCACTTCATCGAGGAGCCCGACACGCCCGAGCCTTAAGACCCAGAGGAGGAGCCAGAGGAGGAGTCAGAGGAGCCAGTGGAGGAGCCTTAGGAGCAGGAGCAGGAAGGAGCCAGAGGAGCAGGAGCCAGAGGAGGAGCGTGAGCCAGAGGAGCAGGAGCAGGAGCCTCTGATCGGAGGCACAGCCTCCGATCTGTCCTCCTCTGGATCCTGCGCCTCCTCAACACCCTCGCCCTTTTCATCCTCATTCGCCTCCCTCTTCGCGCATTTCCTCTTCGTTGCGCCTCGTATCCGTACTACCTAAACCTCCTCCTCTATCCTCGACTGCGTCCCATCCGTGTGGTATTGCTGTGTGTTCCTCCTTTTTCCTCCACCGTCCCTCCGCTCCCCTTCATAGCCAAGGTTGACGTACGCGACCGACCTTGACGCCGCGCGCGACGAGGACACGCTGTCAAAGTTCCAGAAGCTGATCATTGAGACGAGGGCGGCTGCCTTCGTCGGTGGCGTCCCTCAGAAGACGGCGAAGGCCGAGATCGCGAGGAGGGGGAGGAGGAGGAGGGGGAGGGGGAGGAGGAGGAGGAGGAGGAGGAGGAATAGGAGGGGGAGGAGGAGGAGGAGGAGAAGGAGGATCGAGAAGGTGAAGGAGGAGGACAAGGGCAAGGAGGAAGAGAGGGGAGGGGGAGGAGGGGCTCGCGGAGTGGAAGGGAGGAGGAGGAGGAGGAAAAGAAGGAGGAGGAGGAGAGGAAGAGGAGGACGAGGAGGAGGATAATGATGAGGAGGAGGCGGAGGAGGAGGATGAGGATGATGAGGAAGATGACGAGGACTAGGGGGAGGAGGGGGAGAGGAGAGGGAGGAGGGGAATAGCGTGCCGCCCCAAGGCGGCGCTGCTTATCGTGGCGAACGCGAAGGAAGAGATATGGAAACTTTCCAAGGAGAACAAATCGTGGGCTGACGACCGCGCGCGCGTGATGCGGGCCATGCTGCGGCACGTCGCCAAGGCTTTATCGAGGACGCAGCCCCTCCTCCTCCTGCGCATCATTCTCGACTCGTTCTCATTCTCCTGATCCTCCTCCTCCTTCGTCGTCGTCGTCATCCTCGTCCTCCTCCTCCTCCTCGTCATCCTCCTCCTCCTCCTCTTTCTCCCTCTCCTTCTCATCCTCGCCCTCCTTGGTTTCACTTCGCCCTCCTCATCCTTCTCGCCCATGCTCTCTTCGACGTCGTCATCCGAACTCTGCTCCTCGGAGCTTCCCCCCAACGTCCTCATCATCAAACTTCTTCCTCCTCCTCCTCCTCCGTCTGGTCCTCCTCATCCTCCTCCTACTATTTTGATCACCGTCAGAGGAAGCAAGTCCCTGCTTGGGCCGTGAAATTCCAGCCCGCGGCCGGCGACGACAGCAAGCCAGCGGCCAGCGACGGCAGCAAGCCAGCGGCCTACGACGACAGCAAGCCAGCGGAGGTCGACGACAGCAAGCCAGCGGAGGTCGACGACAGCAAGCCAGCGGAGAGCGCGAAGAAGCTCGTCAGGGCCAAGGCCAGGGTGGGAGCGGAATGAGGAGGAGGAGGAACGATGAGGAGGAGGAGGAGGATGAGGAGGAGGATAAGGGGGAGGAGGGGCAGCAGCAGCATCAGTAGCAGCAGCAGGAGAAAAAGGGGGGAGCAGGACAGGGGGAGGCGGCTGAGGAGGATGAGGAGGAAGGATGGGATAAAGAGAGGGGGGAGGAGGGACGAGGCAGAGGGACGAGGAGGAAGGAGGATGGGGAGGAGGGCTGAACGAGCACGGGAGAAACGGGGTGGAGTGAATGGTATTTGGGTGATCGGGATGGGCAAGGGAGGAGGGGCGGGAACGGGGGGGCGGGGGGGTGGTTTGGGGTCGGGAGGGAAGCACAGGGAAGCGAAGAGCGGAAAGGGGCGCGAAGACCAGGCCTCGACCTTCACGAACGAGGAGATGGTCACGGAGCGCGGCTATAGACTGGGCTACGAGAAAGAAATGCAGGTCAGCCCATCGTCGAAACAGGAGAACGAGGAGGAGTGGAGAGGGAGGATGGGGAGGAGAAGGAAGAAGTGGAGGGTGGTGGCTCCTTATCCTCGAACCCCTCGTCGGCTTCCTCCTGGACGTCGGCCTCGCTATCGTCGTCCTCCTCCTACTCCTCCTTCTCCTCCTCCTCCTCCTCCTCCTCCTCCTCCTTCTCACCCTCCTCCTCCTAATACTCCTCCCCCTCCTCGGGGGGAGGAGGATGAGCCAGCTTCTTGACCTCTCCACGCTTTGGGCCCCCAGTCCGCTTGGCGCATCCCCATCAACGCCAGCCAGTTCCCAGAGTACGCAGTGGCTCGCCCTCGCGAGGGCAGCAAGATGCTCGTTGCCGTCTGGGCCGACAAGTTTGAGTGGGAGGTGCCTCCTCCTCCCTCCTCCCCCTCATCTCTTGATTAATTAAATGTCCCTCCTCCTCCCTCCTCCTCCTCCTCCTTCCCCCTCCTCCTCCCTCCGTCCACTCCGTGCTTCCCGTGCGTCCTCCTCCCACCGCCAACTCCTGTGCCTGCTCCTCCATCCTCCGTCTCTCTCCTGCGCATCATTCTCCCTCCATCAATTCCGTGCCTCCCATCATTCTCTATAATAGCTTTCAGTTGCCCTGTAGGTGCCTGGCACGTCGGCGAATGACACCGACAGGCCAGACGGTGCGCCCAAGCACACCAAGGGGAACAACGTCTTCTGGCGCGGCACCCACCGCGAGACGGGCAACGAGGTGTTGGGGCGCTGGGTCATCAAGACTGGCAAGTCGTGGCTGCAGATCTGGTGCGAGAACATGCAGTTCATGCAGATGATGGGGTATACAAACGAGGAGGGTGCCAAACAATTTGTGATTCAGTGCTGCAAGGCGTTCGCTGCTGGCGAGAAGGACAAAACCCAGTGCGAGGACATGGAGCGAGAGTTTCTGGCTACTGACAAGAAGACGGCGAGGGTGAAGAGACCCGCGGCGGCGGCCGACAAGCGACCAGCGGTTGCCGAGCCCGAGGGCGCCGACGCGGATCCGAATGAGAAGAAGGATGACGCTGATTCAGAGAGTGGCCAAGTGAGCAGCGCCGCCTCGGATTCAGAGTCTGTTTCGAAGAAGGCGAAGGTGTGCAAGCCTTCGCCCGATTCCAAGCTTGAGCCTGCGGCAACCAAGGCCTTGCTTTCAATGTCACCGCGCAAGGGCGCGGTGACTCCCGAGCCGCTGGCCAAGCGTTCACCGCCGCCTGCGTCTGCGCTCGTGGTGCCGCCTGCGCCCGCGGTGCCGCCTGCGCCCGTGGTGCCGCCTGCGCCCGTGGCGCCGCCGATGTCGCCGATTGATGACGACTTCTGATGCTGGCAATTTTTGTGCCAGTCTTCGTGCCGTATTTTGCAGTCTTCTGTTGAAGAGCCTAGATGAAGTTGGCTGAACATCCCAGGTCGAGTTTCAGGTCAAGCACAAGGTTTCGTGCTAGCTGTATTTCGTGCCAAGTTCCAACTTCATGCAACCAGTGCAAGGTTCTTCAGCAGATTTTTTATCGCCGCCAGCTGTCTGAGGCCATGGGGCCACGCATAGTTTTTCTGGTATTTCCAGTGAATGTATGCTGATTTGTGCGAGGGTACCGCACGAGCGGAGCTTCAGTATTGCCTGGTGGCAACGACGTTCTAACCGCGTTGTCTGAAACACTTGAAGTCAAACTGAGTGGAGCACGGCATAATATCTGCAACTGCGGGGCTTAGGTCAAATACAAAGCCCAAGACGCCTCCAATTAAGAGGACTTTCAGGAAGGCCCGCCGAGGCCAAACATCATTGATGCCACGTAGGTGTTCTAAGGATGTTGGGGTGCCCTCCTTTTCGGCCTTCCGACGGCCCAAGAGGCCATCAATATGGCCATATCGAAATGTCGAAGTCATACACATTGCACGTGCAATCAATGGGGCTTGTGATAAACAAAAACTGCTGACTGCGGGGTCTTACGTTTGCCAAATACGTTACGGGTCAAACAAACATCACTCCTCCACATTGTCCTCCCCTCCTCCACACCCCGTCCACTCACCCTCCCCTCCCCTCATCCCTCCTCCTCCCCTTCATCCTTCTGCTCCTCCTCCCCCTCCTCCTATGCGTGGTTTGCAATCTTCCACGCTGGGATCTGGTCGAAACGCTCTTGGGGGCATCGGGGCGCAGTGTAGGGGTCTCTTGGGGGCATCTTGGGGGCTTGTCGAGCCCGACATCCATGCATTCCGTCCGAACCGTTTTGGCTCAACAATCTTAATGACTTGAGGTGGAACTGCATCAGTCTGCTACTGATCCGCTCGGGGCCACGTCTCGCCCATGTCCGACGGCGCCGCCCAGGGCGCCGCCCAGGGCGCCGCCGAGGGCGCGCGCTTGCAGACCAGTGATACGTGGGCCACGTGGGGCGAGGATCTGGACGTGGAGATTGTGCCAGCTGCAGGGTCAGACGGAGGAGACGCGCAGCCTGATCGGCAGCCCAACTACGGCGAGCCAGGATGGCGCTCGCCGTCTCAGGCAGGCGCGCAAACAGTCGCAGATGAGGAGTCGCCGCGCGACATCCCAGCAGAGCAGCCGAACCACGCGAGCCAGGCTGATGCGCCAGTCGGGGCCCAAGTTGCGGCGCCAGCGGCGGCGGCGCCGCCCTCTTCCTGTGAGGCGCCGCCCCCCGCTGGCGAGGCACCGCCTGGCGCCGTCGCAGGGCCGTCCCAGGAGATGCTGCCCCCAGCGGAGGCAGCGAACGTCCCGCCATCGCTGATGTCGCTGATCAAGTCGCTACAGGACCAGGTGCTCGAGCAGGCGGAGCAGAACAAGATGCTCAATCTGAAGCTCAGGGCGGCCGAGGCGGCCAAGGCACTCAATATCAACCCGTATATGCATCCACCAGTGCCGACCGAGGAGCAACCAGCGCAGAGGCAGCAACCAGATGGAGGGCAGCAACCAGAGCAGGGGCATGTCATCGACGTCGAGGAGTCACTGCCCAGCAGTGGGGATGGAGACGAGGAGATGACGCAGGCGCTGAAGGAGTCGGAGGAGGCCGCCCGTATTGCCAAGGAAAAGGAGGACGAGGGCAACCAGCAGTTGGAGGAGGCGATGCAGAGATCGAGGGAGGAGGCCCAGCGACGCGGCACCAGCGTCAGTCCCGAGAGGGCCCCGAACTCGCCAGGCAAGGCGAGCACTTGGCAGGGCCAGCAAGCGGCTAGCGGTCAGCCTGTGCCGACAGAGATGCCTGTGCCGACAGCGCAGCCTGCCTCGGCAGCGCAGCCTGTGCCGACAGCGCTGCCTGTGCCGACAGCGCAGCCTGTGCCGACAGTGCTGGCTCCTGCAGGAGGCGCGGCCGCGCAGGCTGGGGTAGCCAAACGACAAGCGACCGCCAACTGCTTTCTTGTGTATTGGGCTCCAGTCGTCTCCTCTTGCGAGGAAACGCATTGGAGCTTAAGGGGGCTCACTGGGGCTCATCGCGAGCTCATCGCGAACGGTGAGCCCCAGTGAGCTTCAATCCTGCGCTAGGCACACTTGGGGACACCGCCGAAGAGCAAGCGCCGCCGCATGCTCACCGACGTCATCCTGAGCTCCGAGGTGAACTTCCAGAGCATCCTCAAGAAGGCAGAGAAGCCCGAGCTCCTGGGCGTCGAGCTGCGCGACCATCTTATGGCCATCTTCCAGGGCAAGCACGTCAAAGAGCTGCACAGCATGAAGGGCATAACGCCTCAAAGCATGCTTCCCGAGGCAGTAGCGGGTGCAGAGAACGCGTTGGGCGAAGTTCAGGGCCCTGACGAGGGCGGCGTCGACCCTGCGAGCCTCGAGGAGAAGCAGAAGAAGGAGTACGCTGTATGGCAGGCAGCGAGGGCCAAGGACTTCAGGTTCGCGGCGAACGGCAAGGAGGACAATGTCCTGGCGGGCAGGTTCGATCGCTACAAGAGCAGTCACCCAGACTGTGAGAAGGCTTAGGAAGCGCTCAGGATCGACGGGAGACCCGACATCCAAGCCCAGGAAGACTTCAGGAGGGAGTGGGCGATGAAAAAGTTCGAGAACTACAAGTTGGGGACGAGGAAAGTTACGGCATACAAACGAACACATTGGCGCAGAGGCCAATATCAGACACTCGGCCGCACCGCCAAGAAGGAGGGCGGAGGACGATTGGGCTGGTTGCAGGCGCGGGGGCTCCAGAACGACGACGGCGACGAATACGACGACGACGGACGACGATGGTCGATGCCCCGCAAACGACGTTCGACGGAGACGTCACTTTCAGCGATGACGACTGCGATGACGACGAAGACGACGACGGCAAAGACGACGCCGAGAGGCAAACAAACACACCCCTACCCCCAGTGCCCTCAGTGCCCTCATTATCCTCCTCCCCTCCTCCTCCACCTCCTCCGAATCCTCCTTCGCATTCTCTTCGCCTCTCCTCCTTATCCTCCGCGTCCTGCCTCCTCCTCCTCCCTCCTCCGCCCTCTCCTCTTCCTTCATCCCCTCCTCCAGCTCCGTCCTCCATCATTCCTCCTGAGGGGGGTCAGGTGGACTCCCACCGCCTGATGTTGCGTTTGCAGCCCCTTCAGGCATTTCGGTACTTCTTGAAGGCCATTCAGTTGGGGGCGCCTTGGGTTGTGTACTGCCCGTCTCGCGAGGCGCTCCGCGCTTTGTATGTGGGGGAGGGAGTGGACAGCGAGTTCAGCGTCGCGTGGTCCAAGCACCAGGCATGGGCGGACGACGCGATCGAAAGCAACGAGATGAAGAGAAGGCGCTTGGAGCAGGCATTCGGTAAATGAACATCATTTGCAAAACGCATGGAGCAACCTGCCTTAGGATTGGAAATCCTGTTTTGTTTCGGGGCTGCAGTCAGCTTTCCGATGTTCTGCTTAGGAACTCTGCGGCGAGAATTGCTCGCAAAAAAAATCGCTCCCCAGCCCGCATGCGGGCTATAGGTGGGTGTAGCGGATGTGAAAACACACAGTCGTAAACACACGCATGCACATATGGATGCACGTGCATGACATTTGTGCAGACATACTTATAACACGTTATCTGTTGTTTGGTTTTCAGCCTCCAGGGGGCGGGCCAGCTGGCCGACTCGACCCAGGCGCTGGCGACGGTCGCCCCCCAGGCGCTGGCGACGGTCGCCCCCCAGGCACCAGCGACGGTCGCCCCCCAGGCACTGGCGACGGGCGAGCCCAGCAACCAGGACAAGACGAGGATCCTCATCGGTAAGGTCGCGGACTCTGCTGGCGTGACCTCGAAGGCCGAGATCCAGGAGACAGGCGGCGAGGGCGTTCCAGGCGCGGAGCGCGCTGAGGAGACGGGCACTGAGACGGGCAAAAAGAAGAGCAAGGGAGAGGGCAAGGGCAAGAAGCAGGGCAAGAAACGAAAGCAGGATACCACCGAAGGCAACCCTAAGGAGCAGAAAACCGAGTCCCCTGGCGGCGACTGTATCAAGGCCCTCATGACGCAGGCAAAGCAGACCGTGCTGCTGCACAACACCGTGGTCAGCCATGCCCAGACCTTGGCGTATAACATCGAGAATGATCCTGATTACTCCTGGGCGAAGACTGACGAGGACGGCAAGTTGTTTCTGGAGCAGCTCACGGAGGTGGGCCACACCTTGTGGACCTCAGGAGTCAGCAAAGCCTTGACTGAGCCCCTGACGAGTGTGAGGAAAACTTGTTCGGATTCGGAGTTCATCAGTTACCTCCACAAGCTGAAGGAGGTCGACCAGATTGACAAAAACCTTCAGGAGCTCACCATTAAGGTCAAGAGCCTCCACGAGATCAAAAAGCCCAAGAGGGCCGCCTGATGATTCGAGCGGGTGCATACTCATGCGTGCAACCTGTTGCTAGGTACTTTTTGTTTGCTCGGCTGTCGAAATTATTGAGTATGAAGGCAGAGCAGGAGGATGACAGGCCAGGAGGATGAGTGTTCAAAGATTTTGCGCGCCAGAGCAATCAGCCGACGTTATTTTGCTAGAAATGCTGTAGCGCTCATTAAAAAACCACAACGCAGACCGGTGAGCGACCGATGATCGGCCGGTGACTCATCGGTGCTCACTGGTTCCGATGAGCCTCCGATGATCGAGCTCAAACCCTGTAAAAGCACAGGCGAAAGGGCAGTGATCACAACCGATGAGCGACCGATGAGCGACCGATGACCGGTGAGCGACCGGTGAGCGACCGGTGAGCGACCGGTGAGCGACCGGTGAGCGATGATTTTCGCGAAAAAAAAAACAAAAACAAAAAAAAAAAAAAAAACAATGAAGTTTAGGGTCTTTGTTCGAGGGTTCAGACTGTTCTGTTGCGTCGAGAGGCCGCGGGCCAGCAGGGGAGCTTGTGCTCGTTATCTCTCAACGCCAACAGACAACAGTCGGGGTTGAGCGCTACAGCAGCTGCTGCAATCAGTGCTTCCGTCAGTGAAGGCCAGTCATTTTGAATGCAAGCAACTGGCACTTTGATGAGATAGCTGCAGTTCCTCTCTGCAGAAGTTTCACGTTCGGTTGCAGTGGTGATTGCGTGAGTCAGACTTGTAGTACAACACACGAGTCGGTAGCGCAGCGCTGTTGGGGTCTAGGTTGCTGGCTGCAGACAAGGAAGAGACAACGAAGCAAAACATCATACAGCACGAAGGGCGTACGCACAGCACGAAACGCGATCATGGATAGGGGTGTGCACAGCACGAAGAATGATAAACAACAAACAGAACAGCAAGCGCACAGCACGCTAACACAGCATGTCGAACAGCACATGCACACACTACACAGCATGTCAAACAGCAGACACACCTTATACATAGCCTGCGTTATCACTTCTCGGAGGCGCATGCTCAAGTTCGTACTGTCTGTGCGCGGCCACCTGCAGATCTACAGTTTGATTTGTTAACCAGATGGCGAGGTCTCGCAGCCACAGGCGGGGGGCGCCGCGCATTTTGTCTTCGCAGACTGCCAGGGATGCGGGCTCCGAGCTACTACGAAAGCTACTTGAACTCTACGCCTCGTGCAAACTTACGGCTCTCGACTTTTCCGTAATTTGTCATCTAGCCGACGTTGCTGGCGTCCCAGGGGCCAACTTCGCTCTTTACGGACTTGCTCCAGGGAAACAATCGGGCAAATACCAGGACCATTTATCGAAAGTACTACCAGTCCCCAGTGGCATGACGATGGTTCGCACGCCAGTCAACCTACATCGCAGACCTCGGCGGACGATGCGCGATGTTCCTGTGCGCTGTGTTTTCGAAGGGATCGAGGAGGAAGTCTCCGAAGACCCGCGCACCTTCAGGATTCTGAACGCAGCGCCTGGCGACAGAGACCCCTGTGTTTCAGATTTTGAGTGCTACAAGAAACATCCCCGTGTCATAGAGGCCCTTGCGAACGGGGGCCGCCTTCCAGTGCCTCTCGCATTTTACCTCGATGGAGTGACTTATAGAAAATCTGCGTCTGGGAGGAATGATTCAAGCTTGGGCATGTGGGCCGTAAATTTGATCACGGGAAAGAGGCACTTTATGTCAATCACTAGGTCCAGCGATAGCTGCCAGTGCGGGTGCAAAGGATGGTGCGCGCTGTTTCCGCATCTCCAGACCGCGGCATGGCAGTTCGAAGCAATGTCATTAGGGCGCAGGCCAGCTACTCAATCGGATGGCAGGCCGTGGGGTGCCGATCACGAGCTCGCTCGCCCGAAAGCCTTTTCGTATACAGGAGCACTGTTGTGGATCAAAGGAGACTGGAGTGAACATGCCAAGTCCCTTGGTTTAGCCCCATGGTCGGCAGTGTTTAATGCGTGCCAGTTCTGTGAGGCAAGCCAGGGCGAGATGCACTGCATGTGTGGTGCGTGCGTCCCCAACGAACCACTGCCATTCAGGATAAGAAGAGAAGCAGATTATTTCGATGAGTGCGCAAGGTGCGAGGTGCGTGTCCACATCAGAACAGAACAGCACAGAGCAGATCTGCTGAAATCAATTCGTTTTGAAAAAGGCAAGGGCATCAACGGCCGAATTATCGTGACAGACGTCATCATAAACTGAGTTAACTTGAAAAAGCGTGATCGCTTAGAGCCGTCAGTTCACTTGTGGGGCACGTTTAACCTTGAGAAGCAGACGTTGCCATTCGAGATTGTATTTTGGCGTCCTTCCATGAGCAGTGACAACAAAGTCATGGATGCAATGCGGCATCGTTGCCCGTTGTTTTCGCGAGCTCTAGGGACGTCGCCGACGGCAAGCCTCGCCATAGACTCTTTGCATTGCCTGTATTACGGGCCAATCATGAGGTGGGTGAGCGCAGCTACATGGAGATTGATCCTTGTGAATCCGTTCGGCTTTAGTGGGGGGCTTGAGGAAGTTTTGGACCTTGGTTGCAAGCGGATTTTAGCCGACCTACTTGTTTGGCAAGACCAACACGACGTGCCCCACCAGATCAGGCTCACAACGCTCAACCTCAAGATGCTAGGGAAGCGTAAAGGTTTCACATTGCAGGACAGCGCTTTTTTCCTTGTGCCAACATATGCACGATCACCGCACTGGGGTACACGGGGAGGGGTCAAGGTAGCCAGGGCGCACGATGAGTTAGTAGGGGTGCAATGATGTTTGCGTTTGTAACATGGCCGCGCCAGCATTCCAGAAATGATAGTGCGTCAGGGGGGAGGGGGCGCTCGATTGATGTCTTTCCAGCGGTGGCCCACAAACTTTCCCCATAACACAGGAGATATTGTATAAATTGCCATCGGCAGCCGGATCACAGCGGTGGGCGCATGAGTTTGAAGGCGGCGGAGGTTGGCTACATGTTGCCATTTGCAGTGCACGCCCTGAACGTGAATGGAGGCAGCGCTGTTTTCGGGTCCGCTCTACTGCACGGAGGGGAATCGTTGCAGCGGTTCTTGGACATTGTGCGCTTGCATCCCGTTCTTTTGCCAGGGCCAGCACGAGTGGAGCTCATGACGTGCACGTTGGTCCACCTCAGGAGTTGCCTCGTGTGCGGCATCGCCTTCACTCCGAAGCGCCATCTTGTCCTCCACTTGGTGGACAGGTACCATGGTACGTGTGTGAAACAGCTTTAAGCGTTCGGTGCTTGAAAAATGCAAGTTCAGAAGGGTAGCTAATAAACGATGAAAGTTCAACATCCAAACATTCTCGGAAAACAGCGTGTACGTACCCCCCAATAACAAAACAGCATGTTCCAAATAATGTAAACAAGAACGTACGTAACAACATACGGAATCGGAGTGAGGTGGCCGAACGGTTTCAACAATAAATGAAACAACCAAGCTCCCCGTGACAGGGTTGGGCCCCATGGGAGCCCGACGCAGTACAACTGCTTCATCGACGAGACCCTCAATGCACTTCTACGGGACGTCATGGTATTCGCTCATCCATCCAGATTCGAGGTTCGGGTGTTCAGCCTTTTTGATCTACAGGAGCGCCTCGGTATTTGCAAGTATCTTGTCTCCAAGCAATGGCTCGTGCTGCTGTCCTGATCGCTGTGATCATATTCGCTCCGACGCCTGTCTCGGCCAGTTTGCCGCGGCATCGGAAAGGCATGGCTTGGGCAACGGCAAAGGCCGCGGATATGACTGCCCGCGGGATCAAATACTCGTTTGAGAATGGCAATGACCAAGCGTTTCTTTCTGCGGTTGTGGACGAAATCATTGGCATGGGTGACGTGCCGAGGGACACAGCCTTTGTTGAATTATTCGCAGGCGCAGGTGGAGCAGCCAGGCGCGTGGCACAGCTTGGATTCAATGCCTACACCTTCGAAAGGGAGAATTCGCCGACCGAAGATTTGTGCTCTCTGGTGGCCAGGAATTCAAACCGTGTGATTGATGTAGCTTTGGTGCTCGTGTTGGTTTGAGTGTTGTGTCGTGGTTCTGCTGGGGGCATTTTGATCTTGGGGTGTCTTGAGTGCTCCTGCAGGTGGGGATTCTCTACGCGATGTACCTCATCGCGACCGTCGCAGAAGGGGGGTCGGTGCATTTCGCGCCGCAGTGCTCGACGTGGTGGAGGGGGGCAAGTTTTCACACCAAGCGCAGTACTGCTGACCCCACTGGCGACGACAGCCGCCGTGATGTTCGGGAGGCCAATTTTATTGCTGCAGCGGTGTCGCACTGGGGAAATACAGAAATCATCCTCCTCATCCCCCCTCCTCCGTCCCTCCTCCTCTTGCTCCTCCTCCGCTCCCTTGTGTTCGTGCTCCTCCTCCTCGTCCTGCTCCTTCTCCTCGTCCTCCTCGCGCGCCCCATCCCCCTCTTCTCCAGCTGCCACATGCCCCTATATACCCCTTTCCTCTCAACTCCTGCCCACAATGCTCGCTTTCCCATGGCCACGAACGAAATCCCAGAGCAATTCGGGCTCACTGGGGGCTCACTGGGGCTCACTGTTTTCGGTGAGCCGTCGATGAGCCCTCGGGGGCTCAGACGGTTTAGCGAAATCTGGATGGTTTCTGGACGCCTGGACGCCGAAGAACATAGCCGGTCATTTGGCCACTTCCCACCCCCTAAAAAACCACGCAGGTCCTACATGCTGTTCTACGCGAGCATGAGGTCCGTGTACACAACGGTGGAGCAGCCGCAGGGCAGCCTATTCTATCACATGTCGAACATAAGAGCTGCGAGCAAAACGATCGGAGCCTCTACCTGCAGTATATGGTTGGGAGGATGGGGGCACTCGACTCCAAAACCAACTGCGTGGCAGACTACGTTTCCTAGCTGGGCAGTAGGGCAACTGGTCAAAAAGCAAGTCTGACGCATCGACGGCAGCAAGCAAAACTCTTACTTTCGAGCAGCAGCGGCAGAACGCTGATTCGGGCACTGGCTGGAGGAC